TGAAGACATAAAACAGCTTTAAACTCACTCTGGAATAGTTTTTCAGCTCGCTGATCTCCACCTGCTCCTGAGCTGTGATGTTGTTTTTTTTACAGGCTAAATACTTTGTATCGGTCCCATTTACACTGGTGTTTACACAGCAGACATACCAGTCGCCATCGATCAGCACAGAGACAACCCACAGCCCCCCAACCAGACCTGCTCTGAAGATTCTTATAATAACAATCCCCCAAAACTGACAACAGTACTTTGGGCAGCAGTGTGAGCAGCAGCCTGGACATTTACATCCACATAGATAATTGAAGGCGCCGAAAAGTTTGTTGTCCGTCCAGACTATCAGGAAAAAGATGATGGAAAACGGCAGTCCCATGTAAGCGTCGCAGTTGCTACGGTCATTTTTACAGGTGCACGCCACATCTCTGTCCAGCAGGACGTTGTAGGTGAAACTCACGACGATGGTGACAAAGACGCTGACTTTGTTCAGAGGAAACTTTGTCAGGAAGTTCCTCATCTTTGTGTCTGCAGATAGCTGAAATGTGGAGAACAAACAGAGAGCAAAGGCTTCCTGTTGAGTGAAGAACTGAGAATTTATTCTCATGTTAGCCACACCTGCTGCTCCTCCTTCATCTTTGAGATAAAATAATAGAAAGGCATTTATGGAAAGTTCTGTTTACATTCCTATTTAAATTCCTGTCACGGTGCAAAGCCGTTGCATGTTCTCACCTGCAGTGATGAAGGAGGTGGTTCCAGCTTTGCAAAGAGAAAGTAAAGAATGACCACTAAGTTCTTAATTCATAATCCTTCAGCTTTTAGACCAGAAAAGAATTAAAGGTCCACCATGTTGCCAAACTCCACTCAAGCTCTAGATGGACTGGAAGTCCAACACCATCCTGTTCTGTCTGAATCTCAAAGGAGGCCTGAATGTTTCCCACAGACATCCGTGATGAGGTGTCCACACCACTGAGGCCCAGGTGTGTCCATGATTCCTCCAGTAATCACTGTAGAAAATTAAAGTTCTCATCAGCTTTTATCTCTGATACAATGAGGCCGCTTCAAAGACTTTTAATGCCTCCAGAACCATTTCTATTAGTTGTTTTTCCAAGTCCTCGGTACTTATCCTTCTTGACTTATCAGCCGCATTTGACACAGTCAATCATGACATCCTTCTGTCTATACTCTCGAGTATGGGCATCACAGGGAGAGCACACTCCTGGTTTGAATCCTACCTCACTGGTCGATCATTTAAAGTATCCTGGCTTGGTCACACTTCTGCAGCGCACCACCTCGCCACAGGGGTTCCTCAAGGTTCAGTACTGGGACCTCTTCTCTTTGCTATATATACCACTTCTTTGGCCCAGATCATTCAATCACATGGTTTCTCCTACCACTGCTATGCTGATGATACACAGCTCTATCTGTCATTCCCACCTGATGACCACTCGGTCTCAGCACGCATCTCAGACTGTCCCTCTGACATATCAAAATGGATGAAAGCCCACCACCTCCAGCTGAATCTCTCAAAAACTGAACTGCTTGTCTTTCCAGCCAAACCAACTATTCACCACAACATTCACATCCAAACTGAATCCCTCTCTCTGACTCCATCAAAGGCAGCATTAACTTGGGTGTCATGATTGATGACCAGCTGACCTTTAAAGATCACGTTGCCTCTGTTTCTCAATCCTGTCGCTTCGCATTACTAAACATAAGAAAGATCCGGCCGTACCTAACACAACATGCTACCCAGCTCCTGGTGCAGTCTATGGTCATCTCCCGCCTAGACTATTGCAACGCACTCCTGACTCTCCCAGCCTGTACAGTAAAACCTTTACAAATGATCCAGAACGCAGCGGAGCGTCTGGTCTTCAATCAGCCCAAAAAATCTCACGTCACCCCTCTGTTCATTGAACTCCACTGGTTACCTCTGGCTGCCCGTATCAAATTCAAGTTCCTGATGCTAGCCTACAAAGTGCTTAAGGGTATGGCTCCCATCTACTTGAATCCTTTTGCAAAGGCTTATGTCACAACTCGATCCCTCCGGTCATCAATAGATTGTCGTCTAGCAGTGCCTTCACCACGCTTAAGACCATCCAGACTGTTTCATGTGTCGTTCCAAGATGGAGGAACCACCTACCAAGCTACCAGAACAGCAGGTCCCTGTCTGTCTTCAGAAACTCTTGAAGACACACCTCTTCAAAGAGCATCTCCTATCCTAACCCTAACCCGTACCTCTACCCCCCACAGCTCCCTCGGTAGTCCCTCTACCTCTATCTCTATCTCACCACTGACTCTGATCAGGGTTTCTCCTCTGGATAGCTTATTGTCATAGTGATGAGAAATGGAATATTGTGTCTACTCTGTAAGTTGCTTTGGAGAAAAGCGTCTGCCAAATGCACAAACATAAACATAAACATAAACATGTTCAGGTCCTCTGCTGATGGCTATTTGAAGTTGTTGTGAAGAACTTTTGAGGAAGTTTCCCAGCATGCAGTACTGTCTCTAAAAGGAGAGATGTTATCTTAATATAACTTCTACATTTCTGCCTCATGATGCTAATTAGGTGGGCTGTCCTTCATGCTGTCTCATTGGGTCAGCCTCTCTGCTATTGGTCAGTCGAAATGACCAATAGTAGTGAGGCTTTCACTGAGTCAGTTTTTTCAATGACCAAAAATACAACAACCAGACCTCATCGGTCCTTATTTGACCTGATCTGTCTCAATCTTCCCTTATTTTTCCTCATCTGCTTTGATATGTCCTCATCTGACCTCATCTACCTAAATATTTCCTCATCTCACCTCATTTGACCTCATCTGCTTTAATATTTCCTCAGCTGACCTCATCTTCTTTAATCTTTCATCTTTCCTCATCTGACCTCATATCTCCTCGTCTGACCGTCATGCTCTGAAAAACTCTTCACGTCTTTATTTTCTGGAATACACAGCAGCAGCTTTATCTGTACCTCTCACTGATGCCCAACCAGATACTGGATGTTTTTCAACTTGTACCCTTGGAAAAATCCTCTGACTTGCTCTGGCAAGATTTGGGCCGGTTTGTTTACCACTGTTACCGTCTTTCACCCTCCATACAGCTATTAAAATTTTTACAATTTACATAGAAATATACATAAAAGCCCACATTTAGTCTGCTGTTCTTCACTTACAATATACTTATAAAAGTATATGTATCAGGTTAAACTTACAAGTAAAGTAGGTTACATGAATAAACAAGAGAAACATACAAACAAAGCTATAGGTGGTAAATTGATAAGCAATGCAAATGAAGATAAATGATTTAAATAAAATAAAAAAATAAAAATAAAATATATATTTATATATATAAAAGCGAGAAATATTAAATGTATTTAAGAAAAATTAATAGATAGAAATAATTTTTAAAAGAAAAGGAAGATTTTTTTTAAAGAAAAATATCAAAACAATGACAATTTTACTGCACTGGTATGGTCGTGGCTGGTTTCCATGTGTTGACAAAAATGTCTTTTTGAAGCCTCAGGCAATAGGTTATTTGTACCATTTTAAGATCTTTGTAAAGAGTTTTCTGAAATACTTTTCTAAATGCCTCAAATAATGTATCTCGTCCCACAGTTTTCTCAATTTAGGGCTTGTCCAGAGTATATGAGTAAGGTCACAAATGTGTGACCCACAACTTCTCCAGCATTTAAAAGAGTGTATGGTTCCCATTTTGTATAAGACCGCTGGTGTCCTAAAGAACTGTATTACCACCTTCCACCTGAATTCCCACCATGCATTAGAGTTAGTGACTTGATGCACTTCTGTACATATTTCCTCCCACCTGTCTTGCTGTATTTCTATGTCATTATCGCTTTCACATATTTCTTTGATCTGAAGAGTTTTGTTGGGATTCATATCTATAAGTAGCATGTAAAAATGGCCGATCATTTTCTTATTCCCACTACCAGATTGCAATTTTATCCAGAATTCTTTGGTTGGGGGGGGCTCTAGGATTTTAGTCTGAAAACTATATCCAGAACCAGCAGAAACCAGACCAGAATCTGCTCAGAGATTTATTATGTGTTTACTTCATTTATTTGTACAGGAATATAGAAAATATAGTTTTAAATTTAGATTGAGATCTTATTCAACCTAGAAATAGAAAACAAGATTAATATAAAATAGATTATAATTTTAGAGAAAATAAAAATTTGACTAAAGTAACAATAATCCACATTTCAGATCTGGACTCCAGAGGTTTTATCCAGTTTTCATATTAGACAAAGAGCCCAGTTCTAATCATCATCAGGGTGTCTGAAAGCTAAAAATCTGAAATCAAAATGGTAATACTTTCCAGCAAATTCTGTCATTAAAAGCAGATTTATTTCGCCCATTTATTAATTTAACCGATAAAAGAGCAAATCATTAAAAAAATTTAAACATGTTTTGGTGTGATGATGTCATGGCACCGTGTGATGATGTCATGGCACCGAGTGATGACGTCATGGCACCATGTGATGATGTCATGGCACCATGTGATGATGTCATGGCACCATGTGATGATGTCATGGCACCATTTGATGATGTCATGACACCTTTTGATGATGTCATGGCACCATGTGATGAGATCATGGCACCATTTGATGATGTCATGGCACCTTGTGATGTCATGGCACCATGTGATGAGATCATGGCACCACTTGTTGATGTCATGACACCTTTTGATGTTGTCATGGCACCATGTGATGATGTCATGGCACCGTGTGATGACATCATGGCACCATGTGATGATGTCATGGCACCGTGTGATGACGTCATGGCACCGTGTGATGACGTCATGGCACCATGTGATGACGTCGTGGCACCGTGTGATGACGTTATGGCACCGTGTGATGACATCATGACACCTTTTGATGATGTCATGGCACCGTGTGATGACATCATGACACCTTTTGATGATGTCATGGCACCGTGTGATGACATCATGACACCTTTTGATGACGTCATGGCCCTATGTGATGAAGCTCTGGCTCATTCAGAGCCCAACAGAGCAGCGTCTGCTGGGCCTGGCGGCGGCAGCTCCTCCCCCTCAGAGGCTCCTCCTCCCCGGGAGGCCGCCGGCTGCACGGCCGCCTTGACCAGCCGCTCGGCCACGTCGAAACACTGCTCCCAGCGCCCGCCTCCCATCTGCAGCTGGAACTCCTCTGCCAGCCGCTGCCGGGCCAGTTTCCCCAGAGTTTCCCTCAGAGCTAGCTCCTCCTGCTCCAGAAGCTGCTGGTGGAACAGGTGCTGCCTCTCTGCTCTGGAGGGGCTCTTCCAGCTGAACAGCGACATCAGAAACAGCAGGCAGACGATGCCAAAGAGCAAGAAGCAGCTGATTTTCTGCAAGACAAGCAGAAACATTAACCACCAGCCCAAACTTCCTGTCTGGTCTGAAAGCAGCTGGGTGCTTCCTGCTCTGCTGGTTAAACTCTCACAGAAACCATCAACATCTGAGCCTCTGATCCAACCAGAGTCCAGAGAACTCAGAGCTGTGAGCCTCTGATCAGAACCAGAGAGGAAACCATTCACACTTTCTGATGTCAGATGTCCTCAATGTTTCCTCAAGAAGATTAAACAATCCCACAAATTAATTTGGGAATCAGATAAATTACTAGAAGAACTCAAACTTAAATCAGAATATCTCTGATCAAATAGTTTAAATTTGTACTTTTCTCCTCCAGAATCAGCTATGATTTCCATTGAATGAGCTCTGTTCGGCAGATGTTCCAGACAGAAGCAGAAACAGGAGTTCAGGAGCTGGAACAGGCTTATTTCAGAGCAGAAACAGACTCAGTTTAACCTGAGAGGACAAAATGAGGCTGAAAGTGTCTCACTGCTCAGTTTGATGAAGAATCCTCTGAAAACAGGAGCTGATTTTACACTAAAGTGATGGAAAGACCTCAGTTTTTACACCAGAAGCTGAAAGAATCCCACAAATGAATTTAGGATTCAGATAAATTACTAAAAGAACTAAAAGAAAAATCTGAATATCTGAAATGTAAACTTTAAATGTCTGCTTTTCTCCACCAGAACCAGCTCTGGTTTCCCTGAATGAGCTCTGTTCAGCAGGAGTTCCAGACAGAAGCAGAAACAGGAGTTCAGGAGCTGAAACAGCTTCTCTGAACAGCAGAAACTCAGCGTTTGGGGCTCAGGTGGCCTCACCCAGGACGTGTCCCTCAGCTCAGCCAGCACAGCTCTCTCCTCGTCGCTCAGCCACCCGGCGGAGGTGCAGGCCAGCTTCTCCTGCTGCTCTGAGTGGTCGTTCATGCAGCAGACGTACCAGTCGCCGTCGACCAGCACGCACACCAGCCACAGCAGGCCCACGCCCGCCGCCCTCAGCACGCGGCCCCCGCAGGAGCGCAGGAAGCTGCCGGCGTGCCGGCGGTCGGCCGACAGCAGGTGCCTGACCAGCCGCTGGAAGCACTGGTCGGTGGCCAGTAGCAGCAGCGCGGCGGCGGCGGCGGGCAGCAGCAGGTGCAGGTAGCAGCCCAGCTGCTGCGGCCGGCAGGAGCACTCCAGGCTCCCGCCCAGGAGCAGGAAGATCCCCAACACTGCGGCGTAGGGGCCCCACACCCGGCCGGCCTGCCAGAACCCCATCTCTGCTGCCAGGCCCTTCTAGTCCCGACGTCCTGCTGCCCACAGCTGCTGAGTCAGCACGGCGGGCCAGCCCCACCCCGCTGGTTCCCCTTTCAGATGAGCTGTCAGCTGGCAGAGCGGCTGCCGTGCACGCAGCCGGCGCGTCAGAGGAGCGTCCTGCTGCGGCCTGAGACCGTCCAGTCAGGAGCCCCCCAGCAGTCACATGACCGGAAACACATGACACAACAAGCAGAAGCATGTGGAAGTGTTATGAAACCAAACATCTGGGATCCATTAAAGCTCAGACTGGGGTTTTCATCAGATCCTTTCCCCTCACTGAAATCACTGAAAAATCACACATGAAGTTATGTTATAAGAGCTCAGAAATCTGAGCTTTAACTCGTTTTTTATTCTTTGTAATCTAAAGGAAAATGCTTTTAGACACATTACAGCAATCGTGTGTATGTTGTAAATTCATTTCGACCCAAATTGAAAAAACAAACAAACATTTTAAATCTATAGATAAACCCACTGAGCCTGTATGCAGAAAAAGTACCTGTACCAGGACAGAGTGTAGTTTGTTAGCTCCTACTGATCCCAGATCCAAAGTCCGGTTCCCAGAGTCCAGTTCCTGCCCCCTTTCAAGACTCTTTAGCTTACTGGAGGAAGTCGGTTTGATTGAACATCTCGGTACCCCGGACGTTGAAGTGCTGGCTGTGGGAATGCGCCCGTATTATTTGCCTAGGGAGTTTACGTCCACCATTGTTATTGCTGTCTTCATCCCCCTGTCAGCTGACGCAGCAGTGGCCGGTGATGTCATCAGCTCTGCCGCTGCTAAACTGCAGACTGATCATCCAGATGCGTTCATGGTTATTACTGATGATTTTAATCATGCCTCACTGAACAATACTCTCAACAACTTTCACCAGTATGTTGACCGCCCCACAAGAGACCATAAAATACTGGGTTTATTATATGACAATGCCATGGACGCATATGACGAAGCAGCCCTCCCTCCCCTCGGCAGGTCAGACCACAACCTGGTCTTGATGAACCCAAAGTATGTCCCACTTGTGGAGAGGCAGCCGGTGCACATCAGGACGGTGAGGAGGTGGACACCAGAGGCTGCTGAGGCACTTGGGGACTGCTTCAAGTCGACAGACTGGAATGTGCCATGTGAGCCACATGGGGGGGACATTGATGGGATGACCAACTGCGTTACGGATTACATCAGAGTCTGGAGTCCGCCCGGGTGAAGCACGGTGATGGGCTTTACATGGTGTATGCCAGCTCGGGACACATGAAATGCTTTGAATGTGGAGATGTCGGACATAAAAGATCAGCATGTCCACACAAACAGCAGGAGAATGAGCAAATGGTGGATAACGAAGGTGGCTCTGCTGCTCCCGGGTCCGTGACGTGAGCCCGGTGGCTGCGAGCCCGGTGGCCGCGAGCCCTACCCCTATATCTGCGGGCCCAGTGGCCGCGAGGCCGGTGCCCATTGCAGAAAGCCCTGTGGCAGTTATGGAGGCTGCAGTGGCGGAATGTAATGTTGAAACGGAGACAATTGAACCGATTGAGGTGGAGTAGCCGCCGGAGTCTGAGGCTGCACAGAGTGTGACTGAGACACAGGTAGAAAGCACTGAGGACAGAGCTAGCACCAGTGGGACAGGACAGGGGGATGTCTGCAGTCGAGGCGAAAAGGAATATGAAACAGTCAGACACAGCATCTATTAGGGAAGTGGTGAGCGTAAGGATTGAACTCCATTCTTTAGAGGAAATACATTACTTTCTGGAAGAAATATTTAACAAATTAGTCAAAGTCAGCGATTACTTTGAGGACACAGACAAATTTATTACATCTGTCAGTATTTTAAAGAGACTGGTTAGCAATGACCTCCTGGATTAAAAGAGGCGCTATCGTCTCAACAAACATCTGGCAATCCTTAGGAAATAGGCTAAATGCAGCCATGAAAGCACCAGTTGGGTTTTCAGATCATCACTTAGTAACTGCTCATTTTTCTTTAATGGTGCCTCCTCACAGATATCCTCATTAGCATTTTAACATAAGACTGATCCATCACAATACTTTGTGTCAGTCTTTCACTGATTTCTAGGCTCAATGGAGACGCAGAAAATCAGGATATGAAAACATAGGTCAGTGGTGGGAAGTGGGGAAAACACAAATTAGAAACATTACACATAGAAGCAATAGAAAGGGATGGGATGGGACAAATCATTTATAGTAAATGTGACTTGGGAGAAGAAGAGTGTCATGCCGTAGCTGGATACTCTTAAGCAGTCCACAACTTTAGACAGAAGCTCAGTCAAAAAGGGATTTATTCCTTTTTTGGAAGAATTGTGGAGGCAATGTCTGGGTCTGGAGCAGCCGCCTTGGTGATCGAATCCTTGGGACGGTACTTGTTGGAGGAAGCAGTGAGGAGCAAACGGAGTCAGGAAGGCTGGAAGAAATCCAAGATTCTGGTTAAACAAGGAAAAAGATTTACTAATTTTTTTATCCACAAAAAGTATGAAGAATTCTGAGATTGGCCTGAACCACACTGTGTGAGGAAATCATCTGGCAACTGCCACATGGAACTACTCCTTCTTATGGCTGCTCCTGATGAGTGAAATTGGCACCAGCTGGATCCATTTCAAATCTGGCCACCTGGAGAAGGGTAGGAGGAAAAAACTGAAAACTACTCTACAGACCTAACAAAGAGGGCATCTTTGAGCAGGTGTTTATACGAAAAAGCTAAAGGTGCTCTAATTAAATCAAGAATCCTGTCCATTAAGGACATAGATGCACCCACTCGGTTCTTTTTTAAGCTGGAAAAAAAGGTCAGGCAACAGAACGTGATGATGCACCTCAAGAGCTCCAATTGACCCCTCTGAGATGAGGAAGCTGGTCTTAGACTTTTAGAGCAGCATGTTTAGAGCTGATGAGTGTGACTCAGACCGTGTGGAGGAGATACTGGAGGGACTCCCTTTAGGGGAGGCGTCGGCAGCCTCTCTGGAGTCCATGGTGCAGTTTGAGACATTCTGGAACTCAATTGGACAGGACCTAATGGACGTTTTCCAGGGATGTTTGGACTGTGGGACGTTACCAACGAGCTGTAGGAGGGCAGTCCTAACGTTGCTGCCAAAAAAAGAGATTTAGGTCTCCTACAGAACTGGAGGCCTGTTTCATTAAGGTGCACAGACTATACATTTCTGGCTAAAGTCCTGTCGAATAGGCTTAAAAAATGTATGGACATAATTGTACACACCAGCCAGATATATTGTATCACTGAGAGGACAATAATGGAGTATTTGTTTTTACTCAGAGACATCATAGATATGTCAAAGTTCCAGGAACTTGATCCACTGGATTCAATTGGCTATTTTTACTTGTAGCAGAGTGGGGTCAGGGACTGGTTGACCTCGGGAGCCGCATAAATGCGTTCCGGCTCCAGAAGGCACAGCGACTTCTCTACAGAACCCAGCAGCCCAGGACTGAAACAGCGTCCCAGTTGTTGCAAAGAGTGGGGAACCTGGAGTACGACAAACACCTGTTTCTCTTGGACCAGGACGGTGTGGACACATCACAAACTTCCAGTTTTTACCAGTCAGTTCTGCATGACTGGAGAACAGTTTTAAGGAGTAAGAGGGACTGCTCTAAGGTATATGGCACGGTAGGTAATGAACCTTTGTTCAAAAACCCGGCCATCCGGAGCAGGATTCTGGGCTCTGACAATATCCAGAGGGTCTTTACAGCAGCTGGGCTGACAAAGCTGGCAGGACTGAGGGCAGAAGGTCAGTGGAAAAGTGCTGCAAGACTATGTGAAGACACAAGGACTAAGTCTATGCGCCTCAAGGACAAACTGGTGGAGGAGGTGATCAGTGGACTTCCTGGTTCCTTCAGGAAGGCATTAGAGACAGAGGACCAGGTTGTGTAGGAGTGTATGTATCTAATTTAATTATGAGTGTTTATTGTAAATGAAACAA